AGAAGTCGATGACATCGAAGTCCAGAAACAGAACGTCAGTCGCAACAAAAACGAAGACTTCCGAACACATCAACACGAGATCTCGACATACGGACTCCGAAAGTCCTTCGATTGGGACGGACTAACCACTGTTCACTGCAACGGCGTACGATTTTATATCATCATTATTATCTAGTGTAACATGCTCATGTGACCGGTATAACAATTATTAGAGCCTATACATCGTAATATGAAACCAAATAAAAACACCACCTAGTGATAATAATTATAACTTAATATCTATTAATTGTTTTATTTAAATATCAAGAAAAATAAGTTTTAATATTCATATTAAATTTATAAAATAATTCAAATAAAAATTCAAATAAATAGATATTTTTTATTGTAATAAAAGAAAGTATTGTTTTATTTAAGAAAAAGACTACTTTAATCACATTTAATCACATTATTTCAAATAATTAAAAATTGAAAACAAAACTTATTAAACTAAATGTAGAAATTATTGTCAAACTTAGACCTAAATGTTGTTAAGCCTCCACTCTCTCGATAGTAGTGGTGAGCGGAGGCACTGAAGGCGCAGAGTTTGGTGCGGACACCCGATCGGCATAGAGAACACAATCTTTTTGTCTAAATTTTGACTCAATTTTAACCAAATTTTTGAGAACTTTTAGCCAATAATTTGAGTCAATTTCGTTAAAGGTATCGGATATTAATTTCTCAAAAGTTTTAGGATTATATCCGATATTATTGACGCGAATTCGGCGCTTGAGTTCGCCCCATATCTTCTCAATTGGCTGTAATTCACAATTATATGGCGGTGTCCGCAAAAAAAATATGACCCGCGCTTTCAATCATTTTATCCACTTCAGTCTTTTTGTGTGACATATTGGGGAACAATTTCTAATAATTGTTTTCTTGTATTTTGGTCATACTCTATGTTTCTATTCTTAAGCCAGTCTTCAATCACTTTACGTCTCGATGAAGTGTTTGGAGGTCTGTAAAATAGAGTGTAGTGTTGACACCCGATCGACATAGAGAACACATTCGCTCAGATTGTTAAAATACCTGTTGTCATCATCCACTCGCGAGTGTATTGATGCGTTATCGAACACTATCACTGATTTGGTCTCTAAATTGGGTAATAATTGCTTAGACAACCACTTTTCAAAAGTATCACTTTTAAAAGTTTCAATTGTGACCAATAGTGTTCCCGGAATAAAGCCATCGACACCACCAGCATATAGTATGTTGTAACGAATTCCAGAGTTTGGATCTGTAAATAGAAATACTGATTAATTAAATTAATTAATTAAAAATCTGAGCGAATGTGTTCTCTATGCCGATCGGGTGTCCTCACTAAACTCTAACTTACCGACTGCTTTGAGTGGTATTTTTCTTGAATCATTCACTGGTGATAATATTGTTTTTTCAACAGTATTTACATGAATGTGTGTTTCATCGTAAAAAACAAAAGGATATTTTTTCTCCAATTCTTGTTTTTTCTGCAAATATTTAACTTATTTTCGTGATGTCTTCACTATTTATTTTCTGTTCTCTAAACAACTTTTTAGGGCATTGTTTCTTATGCCCCATTTCTTTCACAATTTTATAAAATTTACTACTTTTACAGTCACTAAAACTAATGTTAGCATTATTATCACAATTTGTAATTAAATAATTTCTTCTGTTATATATATCATTAATTGATTGAAAACATCTATTATTATAGCCATCAAATATGCGATCATTGATTGCTTTCTTATTTCTTATTGGACACCATTTCATCCGTGCCTTCGTTTTGTGGCTTTGATATGAGTTTAGTCGCGTCGCCCGTGTCTTCGGAGCTATCGTTCTGTCTGTTACTCCAAGTGTTGTCTCGACTCAACCTCTTGGCCGTGAAAGTGGTGTTAATGTCTGACTCGAAGTCCAACGCATTTGCCGTACGAATGGATTTCCTTCCGCTTATCATTTGTCTCATTCTTGTTCCCAAACCGCTGGTGGCGTCCGACGAACCACTCTTTTTCGGCGTCGACGTTATTGCCATCGACTCGGGCTTCCGCTTCAGTTGACTAATGTCTGCGGATGTGTTGCACTCTAGGCCTACGAGTGGTGATGACTTGCTATATTTCTTAATAGTCTTCTTGACCGGCTCTGAGTTAGCACTTGTATTCGATAGGACTGTCTTGAGGAACAGATCCGAAGCACTGGTAGAAATGGTGGCAGAAGTGTCGAATTGACGGCCGGACTACTGGTCGCACATATTGTGACATTAGTTAATGGCGGAGAAGTGGTTGTGACGCCATTTATGGCCGGACTGTTGAGTCTTTGTTGAGTTAACATACTGGCCGGCACTTGAATGAACCGAATAGGAGTGCCAGTAGTGGCCAAACCAGTGCCTCCCGACTGCTGGCGATGCGATGATAGTGCGAACCAACAGAAACTGTTGCTGTTGTGGCTGAACCTGATGTTCAGACATCGTGGCGTTCGTAGTACTGATTATTGCACTGTTTATCACAATTTAAAAATCACAATATAATTGACTGTAGCGTAGCAACAGTGGTTGGCAAATTAATGAACCCATGGGTGCCCAATAATAGATTGCTACTAATATCTAGATATTAAGTCAGTTTTCAAAGTTATGTATAATACAATTATTTACCTAGTGTACCCAACGTTCTACCAATGTAATAAATATCTTATGCATTAGATATACCGGTCAGGGATGTGTCAAATACCCGTTGTAGAGTCGTAAGCGCGGGCCCAATGATTATAACATTAATATTCTTATAAAAAATTAGGTAAAAATATATTTTAAATATTGTTTGCAAAAGTTTTGCGAAATGAGATTTATTTAGTAGCGGTATCGACATTATTTTGAACCTCAACTATGGTTTTTCGTATTATGGTTATTCACCCGAAGAGATTACTCTGCTAGAGCACCGGTAGGTCGGCACAGGTAGGTTTTTTGTACAGCAAGGTTTCAGAGATAATTTTGTTTTAATGTTCAAATTTGAATTGCAAAACTTTTGCAAATACCCAATATTTATTGTTTTTAAATTTATAATTTAGTTTTTTAACAATCCCTAATTAACTTACAAATACAAAATACATAACACACAAAATAATTGTAAGGTTATATTTGAATTTTCTGGACATCAAACTTGCATCGGTATCCATATCTAAAATATTTTTAATACTAGGTAACATGTATGCACTTATTCAAAAACTATAAACTTTTAAATGATCAGAAAATTAAATTGTAAAACACTATTAATTATTTAGGTTACTACTGCAATTATTAATAATTATATACATTCTAGTAATTCATGTTTTACTACATGTGTTGAAAAGTCATGTTGTCAAGTAAATAAATTCAATGATTAAATAAAATACATAATATTTATGTTTGTCAAATATATTTACATATATAACTTCTGTTGTATTATACTATAATATAATATAGTAAATAATTTGTAATTCAATTGTATTTCATCTACCCTAATGAAAATATAAGGCTAAGGGAAAGTAATCGCGTATTCAGGGAGGACTAATAATTATATTTGAAATATTATGACCAACTACATTTACACTTTGATTGATAGTTATTATAGGAAAACAGATTTATTATTAATAATCGTCATAATTTCTAAATAATTACACTTATGGGCATATTTAAGTAAATATAACAATGCTCATGTTATATTATTATTATTGTTATAGTCATACCGTATATTATTTAAGATAAATTATTAGAAACGCTTAAATAATAAAACATTTTTGAACATTAATTTATTAATAATGTATGAAAGTGTTAAAATTACTGGCAAATCACCATGGGATAGCATGACCTTTTTTGAAAAAATACTTTTAAGGTTAGTAAATTGTATTCAACAATGTATTTATTATGTATTTAAAAGTAGATAATTATTTAGCTATAATAATTAACATGATAATTAACATAAATTAACATAATTATTGTTTGGTTAATAGCTGGGTATACCCGATATTTTTGACCGGTTGGCGTAATAATCGACTGGACATGGATGATATGTACCGGTGCTCTCAATATGATGAATCTGAACACATTGTTAAGGAGCTTGAAAAGTAAATTTATAATTTTTAAAACTATAAACCATGTTTCAGATTATATAAACTAATTTATAAATTTTTACAAATAAATACTTATTATTATAAAACATTTTAAACAGAAATTGGACCAAGGAACAATCAAAAACATCGCCACAATTTTGGCGTGCATTATTTTGGACATACTCAAGGTGTTTTGTTGTACCACTTATTGCAAATTTTTTTGAAGCAAGTAAATTTTTTTAATTACAATATTATTTAAATTTAAATGGACAATTTTATTAATATTGTAGGAATGTGTACTACTTATGGCACAACCGGTACTTTTGGGTTATATAATAGACTATTTTAGTGCCGTAAATGGGGTGACCTATAGCCATGCCTGTTGGTCGGCAGCTGTTATATGCCTTAGCACAGCCCTATTTATATTTACAGCACACCCCCACCTACTGCGAGTAATGCAAATAGGTATGCGCGCCAGGAGTGCCACCTGTGCCTTGTTATACAAAAAGGTAGATTTTAAAAAAATAAATCTAACAATATAATAATTTTTATATATTAAAAATTAACAAATTTTTAATTCATACCTGGATATAAAACTTTTTCAGATTTTAAAATTAAACAAGAACTCCATGTGCCAGACAACGGTGGGCCAAATTGTTAATCTTATGTCTAATGACGTTAACCGTATAGACGAGGTACATTATTTAACATTATGGTTTTGAAAATCTTAATTTTATTTTATAATTCATAATAGTTTTCGATATATTTTACGAATATTGTAACGACACCAGTGGTTACGGTAGTGGCATCTTATATAATCTGGATGGAGATTGGTTGGGTATATTATGTTGGTTTAACCTTGTTCTTATTGGTTGCGTTCATACAGGCGTTGATGTGCAGAGTGTTTGCAAATATCAGGTAAACTTGATAGATAATATTTAATAACTTTTAAAATGTAACATTATTTATCAAACATAGGTCCAAAACAGCTATATTAACGGATATCCGGCTCAAATATATTAACGAAATTATAGCCGGTATGCGTGTTATCAAGATGTATGCTTGGGAGAAATCTTTTGTTAACTTAGTTGACATAGCTAGAAAGTAATTAAATAATTAATTATAAATTTGTTATTAATTGTCTATATGATTTTAGGAAAGAAATATCGTGTATACGAATGACCTTGTTCCTAAAAGGATTAAATTTGTCAATTTATTTTGTGGCCACTCGTATAATACTATTCGTGTGTTTGGTCATATACGTAATGACCGGGAACATTTTGACAGCCAGAGCCGTTTTTGTTACCATGACACTATTCAATACATTGCGCTCCTGTATAACGTATAATTTGCCCAAGTTTTTTGAGACAGGGTCTGAGTTGTATGTTTCTTGCAAAAGGATACAGGTGAGTAAACAATGTTTAAATACTAATGGAAAATTTTTAAAATAGCCTATTTTATTGTTATTTTTAGAAATTTTTGCAATTAGATGAAATAAATACCAATCGTATAAAATCGTTAGATATAGATCATTTAAAATTCAGATTCTGTAAACCGTGTATTACAATATCGGTAAATAATATTAGCACCAAATGGGATCAAGTATGTGTTGGACATGCTACAATATTGTAATATAACACAAACATTGATTTACATTACTAACAAATATGTGCTAATTTCAGGACATTCTATACGACACTCTCGACAATATCTCTATCCAGTTAAGGCCTGGAGATCTCCTTGCGATTATAGGACCGGTAGGTTCAGGAAAGGTATAAAAATATTGCATTTTTTAATTAAAGACTATTTTATAGTAGGCTGTACGAATTAATTAATTATGTATTTTAGAGTTCATTTCTAATGGCACTACTCCGGGAGCTACCCGTGTTTAAAGGGAACATACATATTACCGGCACCGTTAGCTATGCATCTCAGGAGTCATGGATTTTTAACGATAATATTATAAATAACATATTGTTTGGCATGAATTACGACGAATGTCGATATAAGCGTATAATAGAGGTGTGCGCTTTGGAAAAGGATTTACAGGTACTACCATTTGGCGATAAAACGTTAGTGGGAGAGAAAGGGGTGCAATTATCATGTGGTCAAAAGGCTAGGATTAATTTGGCAAGGTATGATTCGGAATTGAATAATATTAATTGTAGTATCTTGATGTAAATAAAAGTAATATGGTTTTGACACGCGTGTAGAGCTCTTTACAGGAATACTGATATCGTACTAATGGACGACCCGTTAAGCGCTGTGGACACCGCTGTAGCCGAATGTATATTTGATAAGTAGGCAATAGGACCAAGTAACAATGAACACCTAATTGATAACCTTGTTTTCTAGATGTATCATGGAGTACTTATTTAGCAAAATTCGCATTCTGGTCACCCATCAAATCCAATTCGTACGTAAAGCCACGCAAATACTGGTGCTCGATAAGGGTCGGTGTATTGGGCTGGGGACGTATGACCAACTCCAGGCCCAGGGTTTAGATTTTATGCAAATACTTCGGGAACGGGAGCACAAAAATTATGAACAGAATTGGGAACATGAGCTCAATAATAAGTTCAATATTGATTGTAAAACTGAGCCATGTAATAATCTAGACAGAAATGGGCACCTACGTAATTCGGTAGCCCTGTCTACCATGCTCGAAACAGTAACCGTAAGTAACTGCTATTTTTCTAACGTTAGTTCAATAAATATCATCATGGTAAAATTGAGTTTACTAAGATAATATTAGGTAATTTATGGAGATATTTTTTTATTCAATTTACCAACATACTTATTGAATAATCAACTTTTTAAAATAAGTAAAATTTGTAAAACTGAAAACTATTTCTTAAGTAATTTTATACCATATACATTTAACATTAAGTTATATTTATAATTAGACCAAGTTACTTACGAGTAATAACAACAATATTGCTAAACTTAAATTAATGGACGAACATCGAGAAGTCGGTTCAATTAAGGGTCAGGTGTACTGGGAGTATATTAAGGCCGGAGCTGGACCAATATTATTTACCACGACCATTTTATCAACCATATTATCTCAGATTATATACAACGGCTCAGACTTATTCCTAGCTCATTGGTGAGTACATTCATACATATTGTAGTCTTACTTACATACTACAAATATTATGTATAGGACCGACCAAAACCAAGTATCTACCTACCAAAATCAAGGTAGAAGCAATGGCGAGCAGAATCGGAGTATTATGATATACGCCGTACTTATTGGGACGTTATTTGTGGCGACCCTACTCCGGTCGACCACCTTGTTTGCGATGTGTATGCGGGCGTCCATTAACCTACACAACAATATTTTTATCTGGCTATTAAGAGCACCAATGGCCGTGTTTGATAATAATCCAGTTGGTTTGTATTATATTAATACTATAAAATAATTTACATACAAAATAAACATTTACAAGTAAACCTGCTAATTTAAAATGATAGATAGTTTTAATTCTATTTTAAGATTAATCATATAATGTTAAACAAATGCACCCTGGTATTAAACCGAAATTTATAAAATACTATCAAATTATTTGCATAAATATTTCTTTGTTAATGTAAATAATACTGAACCTAGGTCGAATATTAAATCGATTCTCAAAGGACACTGGTATTATCGATGAAATGATACCGATAACGGGATTTGACGCCAGCATTGTAATATTAATTACTAATTATATTCATTACGTTTGCATGCTGAAATTATATCATTATGCGTAATTTAAATTTCTAGATTATTACAATGACAATTGGCATGATCATTGTATTAGCTATACTCAACACATACTTAATTATACCAGCAATTATCTTGATTATAATCTGCATATGTGTACGGGCAGTATACATAAAAACCGCCAGGGACATAAAACGCTACGAGTGCTTAAGTTGTATTTTGTCGATATAAATTAACCATGCTGTACTGATTGATTCCCATATAATAATTAGCCCGGAGCCCAATATACTCGCACGTGAGCACCACCCTAAATGGTATTGCAAGTATACGTGCATACGGGGCTCAACAGGCTTTTGAAAAACAATTGTACGTGTACCTTGATGATCACAGTGCCACGTGGTTCCTATTTATGTGCGCATCGCGATCACTGGGAATGGTATTGGACTGGCTGTGTATCGCATATTTGGTGATCATTTCTGTGGTGTTAATGTCATTCCCTGATAACTTATCGGCTGGTGATGCTGGGCTAGCATTCTCATCCGGTACGTTTCAATAACAAAATAATGTTGTAACATGTTCAATTTAAGTTTGACAATTTTTCAATGTTAATAGCACTGGCGCTCGTATATACGACACAATGGGGTGTCCGACAGACTACGGAACTGGAGTCCCAAATGACATCCGTCGAGCGTATCGTTGAGTACTCGAGACTACCACAGGAGGCGCCACTAATCTCACCACAAAACGACCCCTACCTTAAACCACCCCCACCTGATTGGCCACCGAATGGGCAAATAATGTTTAAAAATGTCAACCTACTCTACCAGACCTCAAATACGCCTGTGCTAAAAAACATGTCATTCACAATTAAGCCCGGTGAAAAAGTGGGTATAGTGGGACGTACCGGTGCCGGTAAATCGTCCCTCATATCAGCCCTGTTTCGTATGACTGAACCCACAGGTATGGTAGAGGTGGATGGGGTCGACACGAAAAGTATAGGTCTTAACGAATTGCGTCGACGTATTTCGATTATACCGCAGGAACCGGTAGTTTTCACGGGACCGATACGTCGTAATCTCGACCCGTTTGCCGAGTTTACCGACAGTCAGATTTGGGAGGCCTTGGATGAGACACAGTTAAGGCACACCGTGAATGAGCTACCCGGCCAGTTGGATGGTGAGCTTATTGAAGGTGGGGTTAATCTAAGTGTAGGCCAGAGGCAATTGGTGTGTTTGGCCAGGGCGATTTTAAGGGATAATAAGATACTGGTGCTCGATGAGGCTACGGCTAATGTGGACTTACATACCGATGCACTCATACAACAGACCATAAGACATAAGTTCGCAAACTGTACGGTACTTACGATCGCACACAGACTTAACACGATTATTGATTGCGACCGCGTTTTGGTATGTTATTCATGAAAAAAAGTTTATATTTATTAGAAGCAAATGACTATAATTTATCTTGGCACTTTCACGGCTCAGGTCTTGGACGCGGGTGAGATCATGGAGTTTGACGCGCCGTATGTTTTAATGCAACGGAAGTCATATTTTTATGACATGTGCCGTAAGACCGGTCGCGAGATGTGCAACCATTTGATACAAATGGCCAAAGAGGCACATCTCAGACACTATAACACTACGGAAGTGGACGGGGAGGGCGAGTAGTTTTATTTGACAAAATATTTTCGCATAACTAATAATAATAATATTAAAGGATCAATGTAACTTTCTAGAAATTAGGAATATGATTTTATTCATTAATTATTTATATATTACTATATTATATATTATATAATATAAAAAAGTTTTTAATTTCTCGTACAATGACTACAACTTTGTGAACCCAACCAACGCTTTCAATATATGGAGTGCGGCCTCAGGTTTGTCTTTAGGGACGGCATGTCCGGCACCTCTGACTGTCAAAAAACTGAGACCTTTCTCATAATGCTGTATAAAACCGCCCTCCACCCCATCAGGCTTACCATCAACTGTCCAGGGTCTATCATATAAAATTATTAATTAAACTTCAAATTTTTAAATTGATTAATACACTATTTAGATTAATAACATTATCCAATCATGTGTATTTATGATAAATTTATAAGTACATATTAAACACTTTGGATAAATAAATTAAGTTATATATAATATAGATACCTAAACATTTTTAAATATTACAACATACCTATACTCATCTGTGGGTTCATATCCCAGTCCCTCGACAAACCGGCCATCGGTTATGAAATCGCAAACACTATCGAAGTCTCCGTTATATACGAGTATTTTCGCGATTCTGTACTTTTCTATTAAGTCTACGAAAGTCTGGCTCCCGTTCCGGAGCTCAATGTTATATCCCTGGTGTCCCACATATTCCGACCACTCGGGGGCGTCATTAAGTACGTGCAGTGCTTTACGTACGTCCACACGATTCATATACTCTTTGTGACCCGAGTGGGGACAATACGAGGGTCTTTCCGTATATTCTGCTTGCTTAATTAATTTATTATTAGGGTTGTATGTGTTATACGCGGCAAATGATTGTGAATTATTCACTGGGTCTCTATCCAGTGGGCAATTGTCGTATATGTTGTATAAGTTGATGATAGCAACAGGCTCCTTTTTAACCGAGTCACATTTTCTATAACATAATATATTTTTAATAACGTAATATAAAATAAATTATATTGACTATATATATTGCAATTTAACTAATAAAACAAATTATATTTTTTAAAAACTTACGTTTTATTAATCGGGTTCATAAAATCGCATCTGAACCTTTTAGCCAGGTCATTACTACAACAGCTTTCTAGTTTACTTTGATAATAATGTGAACTTATTAAGCCATGACCAAGGGCAAAGTCATATTGCGATAATGTGGGTACTTGTGAAACGTCAGCTGTAGTCCAATCAAATTTGCCGTTGCCAATAGCAATACCTATAATTAATTTATTAATTAATTATAAAAATTGTATGATTTTAAATTTTTGCTCAAATTACCTTGTAGATTTATAGTCGATTTTTGAACATATATCTCGTTGGCTAGCATGGGCACATAAACGCCACCATAACTCTCACCGGTTATATAAAATGGATTTTTTCTAAGCTTGGGAAATTTATTGAAAAAACTTTCCAGGGCAAAATAAGTGGCAACCGCGGTAAAGGTATTATCATTTATGAGGGGACCAGGGTGCTCATCGTAACTAAACCCCACACCCGCTGGAGTTTCCATGTATAGCACGTTTGCCACCTTATTCCACGAGTATTGGTTCATGGTAAGTTTTGTACCATTACTGTCCGCTTTAAAGGGTCCATTCTCTGTGAACAACCCTAATAGGGAACTACACATAGGGCCACCATTTAGCCATAGGACTACCGGTGCGTTTTCAGGATCCAGTTCACTTTCGATGTACCAGTAAAATTGGTGTCGCCCAGTGGTTGAGTCCAAATAGCCTGAATACTGTCGAAACTTTACCGGCTCATCTAAGCCAGGTAAACTAAGTATTTCATCAGGGTTACAATTAATTACATTATTAGTATTCAGTATAGTTAGTAAAATAAATATTAGTCTATTGCTCATTTTTTATTGTCAGTATATTTATTATATTCAGTTTACGTAGATAAATTTTAAAAATAGTATATTAAAATTTTTATTTATATACCCAGTCTCATTTTGTGATTGCTATTGCAGTACTTAGATATGCGTTGGAATTTTGTATCACGCTGACCTTGCTTATAGATACGAATTAAAAACGTTTTATGTATAAAATATTTTTTATAAAGTATATTACGCTAGCTCATGTATGTATTTTTAAAACTTTCCACTTAAGTATATTGTCGTTTTTATAAGTCCCTGATTAGATATTAGCAGATTTGCTGTTGTTGAACATTGAGTTCACAATTTTTTGTGATATTATTTATTTAAAAATATTTTAGGGTAAACAATATACAGTTATGATATAAATTTATAATGACAATTTATAAAAAGGTATTGTGCGCATTAATTGTTTACGATTAATTATTATTAATTTTTTAAAAATAAAATTATTACATAGCGTACAACTTTTGAAACATAATTTTATTTGTAATTTTATTTAAATTATTACAGTTTTGTATATCCGAGCAATGCTTTCAGTATCTGTAGGGCGGCCTCAGGCCTATCGGTGGGAACGGCATGTCCGGCGCCCCTGACTGTCAAAAAACTGAGACCTCGCTCATAATGCTGCACAAAACCTCCCTCCACACCATCCGGTTTGCCATCAACTGTCCAGGGTCTATTGTATTAAACATAAATAACTTATTATAATTACACATAATCTAATGTAACGATATTATTGGACATTTACCCGGTATGTAATACTAATTTATTTAGTTACATAAAATGTGCAAACTTTCTAGTGACATACTACACTACAGTATAATAAAAACACCATTGCATTGATATACAACGTACCTGTACTCCTCCGTGGGTTTATATTCCAGTCCCTCCACAAACCGGGCGTCGGTTATGAAATTGCAAACACTATCGAAGTCTCCGTTATATACGAGTATTTTCCCGATTCTGTGCTTTTCTATTAAGTCTACGAAAGTCTGGCTCCCATTCCGTAAGTCTCGTGTATAACCCTTATCGCCCTTATAGGCCGACCACTGTTTGGGCGCATCATTGCGTACGTGCAGTGCCTGACGTACGTCCGCCCGGTTCAGGTACTCCTTGTGGCCCGAGTGGGGACAGTAATCGGGTTGGTTTGTATTTTGTGCTTGCTTCAATAATTTGTGATTAGCGGAGTTTGGGTTATAAAATGGATCATATTGAGATCCATTAACCGGATCCATATCCAGGTGGCAGTCGGAGTATATATTATATAGGTTTATTATGGATACTGGTTCCTTTTTGACCGAGTCACATTTTCTATGAATTAATATAAATATTAAATAAATTTGTTATGTTAATTTATCCGGAATAAATATTAAATTTATAAAGTTAATATGTTTGTATAATTAATTAGCAAGTCATTTAATAAGTAATAATTAAATAAACTTAATTTACGTTTTATTAACCGGGTTAAGAAAGTCACATTCCCACTTGTTATCCTGGTCAATACTACAGCAGCTTATAATTTTTCGTTGATAAAAATCCGGACTTATTAACCCATGACCGAGGGCAAAATCATATTCCGACAGGGTTGGTACATTTGCATCATAAGATAATGTCCAATCAAATAGTCCGTTTCCAATAGCCATGCCTATTACAAAAATTTATATTAAACATAATTAAAAATAAATATAATTAACATTAAAATAAAGTACCTTGCAGATTTATGCTTGACTTTCGTGCAAATATCTCATTGGCTAACATCGGGACATAAACGCCACCATAACTCTCACCGGTTATATAAAATGCATTTTTCTTAAGGTGTGGGTATTTGTCGAAAAAACTTTCCAGGGCAAAATAGTTAGCCACAGCTGTAGCATTGTTATCATTTAGTGGCTCAGGGTCGTTTTCATCGTAACTAAATCCCGCACCGGCAGGCGATTCCATGTATATAATATTGACCACTTTATTCCATGAGTATTTGTTCATGGTCAATTTTATGCCTTTACTGTCCACTATATATGGTCCATGCTCAGTGAACATTCCTAATAGGGAACTACACATAGGACCACCATTTAGCCATAGGACTACCGGTGCGTTTTGAGGATCCAGTTCACTTTCGAAGTACCAATAAAAATGATGTCGACCTTTGGTAGCATTTAAATAGCCGGAGTACTGTCGGAATTTTACCGGTTCAGGTAGGCCAGGTAGGTTTTGTATTTCATCTGGGTTATCCGTAGAGACACAATTAATATAAATTATGATAGGTAAAATATAAAATAACAGTAGTGTATTCATTGTTTAATATGAAATTAGTTTTGCTTTTAATTAAATTCAGTATTAATGTAATTGCTAATTATTAATATTAATGTCTACACATTTATACTTTTTATAGAGTATACAAGTATTTTATATTTATCTCTATATGCCCTTGATGATTCATAGTAACGTTTATTTTTATCAAGTACACTTCACTTATAATTTTCAAATTCTACAAACTATTTTCGCTAATTAATTAAATTAACAAACTATTTTAATGATACAAATATTTTATATTATTATAATTCTAAATAGTTTAGCTATATTTTGGAAAATATAATTTTTTAAAAATAATTATTATATTGAATTGAAATACAGAATTAATATTATCATATTTATAATTTATATATAATTTCATAATTTACCCAAAATATGATATAGTACCAATATAAACAATTTAAGTAATAGTGTAGTGAATAATAAATGATTTGTTATCTGATTCTAGTCCTAAAATAATTTCATAATATTTAAGAAATAATAATTTTAAAAAATAAAATTCTTTCGTAATATTATATAAATCCCAAAACATTAATATAATTAAGTTTATGAAAATTAAGTTAATATTTTTAAACTATGTTTTACTTATTATAAGTTTATATTGTACATAATAACAAAGTAAAGTACCATTTCTATTTAATAATCTACAGTATCTAACATTATGCTATATTACTTACAATACTATTTTAAATGGTGGTCCTCTAGTGGTACGATACCTGACAGGTAATCAGGGGACCCCAAAACTCCCGGTGCCCTTTTTTAATACAGGTTACTTTTCCAATTAACTTTCAATAATGTCCTACTTTTTCTGTAATAATTACCGTACAACAAGTAATTGAATTAACATCTAAAAATACTGTATAGTGTTAATTAAATATTTTATTTTTAAAAATCTTAATATATACTAAAGCAATTATAATGTACATTAATAATTATATTTAAATATTACAAATAATAGTATTAAAGTGCTAATTATATAATCACCACAGTATAATTTTTATAGCAGCGTAAGTATTTATTAAACATTGTAAGATTTATATTTGTGAATGTATATTTTATAAATTTTTATTAATAAAAACTTTATTAATCATTTCAAGTAATATGTTAAAAATTAGTATAGCATCCAAACAATTGTATGTTCATATATCAAATCCATTTATTCTTAATAATATAAAGTATTAATACTTATAATTTTGAGAAAAAAATATTTATTAAAATCACTGCATTTTATTGCAAAACTGATTACAACTTTGCGTAACCAATCAAAGCCTTTAATATCTGTAGGGCGGCCTCGGGCTTATCGGTCGGCACCATATGACCCGACCCTCTGACCGTCAAAAAACTAAGACCTTTCTCATAATGCTGTACAAAACCACCCTCAACACCACCTTGCTTGCCATCAACTGTCCAAGGTCTACGATATAAAACTTTATTAATTTTTAATTATTTGAATTTAATGTATCATGTGTATTATACTTATTTAAAATGAATATGTTTTTTAAAAATAATAATCTTATAAAATATAATACTCAAGATTCATTACCTACAGTATGTTTATACTTATTACTAGACTACCTGTCCATTTAAAAAAACAGTGACATACCTGTACTCCTCGGTATACTTATAGCCCAGTCCCTCGACAAACCGGGCGTCGGTCACAAAATCGCAAACACTATCGAAGTCTCCGTTATATACGAGTATTTTCGCGATTCTATACTTTTCTATTAAGTCTACGAAAGTCAGGCTCCCGTTCCGCATATCAATAGCATAGTCCTTATTGCCCTTAAAGTCCCACCATTTGGGCGCATCATTGCGTACGTGCAGTGCTTTACGTACGTCCGCACGATTCATATACTCTTTGTGTCCCGAATGGGCACAGTAGGCGGGTTTGTCTATGTTTTGTGGTAGCTTAATTAGATTATTACTAGGGTCGTATGGGTTATATAAACCAAATAAATCTGTATTATTAACAGGAACAATTTCTAGTGGACAATTATCGTAAAGGTTATAACGGTTGATAACATCTACTGGCTCCTTTTTGACCGAGTCACATTTTCTATGCATTAAAATATAGTATAAATAAAATATTTTGTAATACAAAAATTCAGTATCATAAATTATATTAGCAATCTAAAATTGAACATTTATACTAACGTTTTATTAACAGGGTTTAGAAAATCGCATTTCCACATGTTATCCTGGTCAATACTGCAACAGCTTTCAATTTTTTGCTGATAGAAATGCGGGCTTATTAAGCCATGACCAAGGGCAAATTCATATTCCGATAAGGTAGGTTGGTCAGTATAATCATATAGATTAAAATCATATTTGCCATTTCCAATAGCAATTCCTGTAATAATTAATTTTACGTAAATATATTTTTTCAATTATTATATTTATGAAATTACCTTGCAGATTTATGCTTGACTTTCGTGCAAATATCTCATTGGCTAACATCGGGACATAAACGCCACCATAACTCTCACCGGTTATATAAAATGCATTTTTCTTAAGGTGTGGGTATTTGTCGAAAAAACTCTCCAGGGCAAAATAGTTAGCCGCAGCTGTATGATTATTATCATTTAGTGGCTCAGGATCATTTTCATCGTAACTAAATCCCACTCCGGCCGGGGATTCTATGTATATAATATTGACCACTTTATTCCACGAGTATTTGTTCATGATCAATTTTGTGCCATTACTGTCCACCGTATATGGTCCATTCTCGGTGAACATACCTAATATGGAACTACACATTGGCCCACCATTTAGCCATAGGACTACCGGTGCTGTCTCAGGATCTTTCTCAGCCTCGAAGTACCAGTAAAAATGATGCCTACCTTTCGTAGCGTTTAAATAACCCGAGTATTGCCGAAATTTAACTGGCTCAGGAAGCCCGGGTAGATTGAATATCTCATCAGGGTTAGCGTTAAATGCCCAAGCAATATTTATTAAGGTGGGTAAAATAAATATTATTAAACTATTCATTTTGATAGTAATTTTGTTAAATATAATAACAAAATGTTTTTAATTATTTATAAAAATGTTGATGTTTATATACAATTTTTAAAATATCATACATTACTAGTTTATAATATAATAGTTATCTCATATCTCTATGCCCTTGATCATTCTAAGTATGGTTTATTGTTATCTAGAACATTGACTGACTATTCTAGGTAACTATGTTTTTAATTTTATAAATTTAATTAATGTTATTTAACTTAATTACTATTAAATATTTTGTAAAATTTATTTAAATTTTGATTATTAATCGAATTAAGTAATGATTTATTTTAAATTATTAATATTATCAAGATTTAAAAACTTACAAAAATAGTACACTGCTAATTTTTACATCTAAAATATCACGTAGTACCTATAAACACATTTACAGTGTACTGGATATATTATACTGTACCTGTTAGTGTAACGTTAATCCAACACAACAGGGTAAAGTATATTTATCTGATTTAAGTCCTGTTTACCATACAATAGAAACGTTTACTATTTTAATACTAATGTATAAATAAATTGATAAATTTATTACTATTAATATTTTTAAACTAAATTAGTAATATTGTTATAGACATTTTAGTTATTATTAATTATAATGAAAAGAATTAATTTAAATTTTATTTCAATTTAATAAACTGTTAATGTGTTTACACTTTGCGTAACCAACCAAAGCCTGTATTATCTGTAGGGCGGCCTCTGGCCGATCGGTGGGCACCATATGACCCGACCCTCTGACTGTCAAAAAACTGAGACCTTTCTCATAATGCTGTACAAAACCACGCTCAACACCATCTGGTTTGCCATCAACTGTTCAGGGTCTAAATAACATTTGATTATTCAAAACACTAGTACAGCATGATCAGAAATAAGTGGGGACGATTTTGATTTAATGTAGATTTCTTATTAATAATTAGAAATAGCATTTTACTATTTCATTTTAAAGGTTGAATTATAATTTAAAGTTTAGTGAAAACAGAAATCAATTATCTGTAAAAATGGCTGAGCAAATGGGTCCCGAAGTTGATGGTATCGTTTTTTATTTTTTAG